ATGTCTTCATTTCACGGTAGTTATCTCACTGACTATATAAAATGACTTTGACTGCAGTATGCACGTGTACAGATGCAGCGAAATGACCATGGATACATTGTGCAAACCCATGTTTCTGACTTCTCTATTCAAATTTGTGACGGGAAAACATTGCTTCCAGTAATGATTCTGTTTTGCTTTTAGCTTTTCAATATGTTCGATAAATCGCCTTATATTTGGATGATCTTATCATTTCCCATTACTGCATTACATCTTGACTGATCACTCGATGTTGCCTCAGTCTTCGCTGTATGAGTGGGTTGATTTAATAGCATGACACCCGCTCCCTTATTCTGTTTGAATATCATGAGTTTTTGTTTATCTGCTAACTTGCGGTCAATATAGGGACAAGCAGGTGCACGTGCAAAGCTTGGCAACTCACGCAGATAGTGTTTTTGGTACGTGTTTGTTTGTATATCAGTGAACCTTTTGAGTTCATGATGCCTTCTTTTCTTTTCGCCCAGCAGATTTGCTGTAGACCCCCACTCCGTGCAGCAGCTGTCTGCCACTGAATTCTTGTTATCCCATATCTTCATCGTCCTTTCGGGCTCGTATCGCCTCGAGCCTCCAATAATACTAACCGAGGGACATTATGTCGCACAATCGTGTTGAATCTGTTGAGTTCTAAGAGCCTGGAGAACGTTCTCCTTATAAATGATCTTCTTAGATCATTTCATTAGGCAGCTCTGGATTTGCAGAAGCCCCTTTCCTAAAAATTAACTGCTAGTTTGTATGTTCAGTATTACACCACCCGGTTTGCTCATACACCTCTGTTAGGTGGATGGGTAAGCGTGTATGAGAAGATTAGAGCAGTAGAGCATACCCTCTTAGATCATCTGTGTGGATGCGCAGCCTAGTTCCCTGCGTCACAGATTGAAATCTCTTAGAGACTACAGACGTTTCCCACAATCGGATAGTTTTAAAACTTCTCGAACTCGGCCAAACAGTGAAAATCAAGGTCTTGAAGCCAAAGTCATCACACTGTACTCTCAGACCAACACTTGGTTCGCAATTAGGTCGTCATAACAAACAAATGTGTGCTGTTTGCAACTTACTGGCTGTCGTATCACTGATCAATCGGATGCGAGAAATTCCTGCTATATGTGCAGCATCACGAACAGCCCGTCGCTGCGCATCCGTGTAGAAGACCGGGACACTCAGTACGACAGATCGAACCAAATTGGCTATGGTCTTCTCGGTCACGCTTTTCAGGTATTGTAATTGTATTGCCATTAGCTGTTCCGGGAGCAAAATCCAAACCCTTTGCAAATAGGTGACCTGTCAAAGGATGATCAAACAAATACTGTGCATTTACTGACCTCTATTCCGACTCGGCCACCGATCGTTTCCCGGCACGCAAACGGAAGCGATCGCCTTTCCTCGAGTGTCAGTGACTCATATCGACGTCCCAACAGACGTGTGAAATTCCATATTGTGCAAACTCTGACACTCTCATGTTGCATTTTTGCCGACATTCCCACGAGGCGCCGTCCATTGATGAAACAAATGCAAGTTCTATACAGATGTAAAGTAATCAAAGAAGCAATCAACCGGCTTACGGTATTCGTCGGTCTCCGTAGTCGTCGTGAATTGTTTGTAACCCTTGTTTCGTGGCATAGGACACAAATGAATTCAACGTGCCCACGTCAAAACCGACTGCATGAGTGGTACACATCATTCCCGAATTCATGAAAAATTTCTAACCTACAACTGTCAACGTGTAAAATGTGTGTTGAATATCACTTGCGGCGAGTTTTAAAAAGCATACAAAACGTAACGATTTACAGTAATTCTCGGCGATAATTGTGCTTTAATAGAAAGAAAACTATGTCCTCTTATTTTGTCATAAAAGTAATTAGTTCGAATCATTAAACGTGGAAGAATCCAACTTTATCACTCCATAAACGTGTTTATTTCAAATATAATAAAGGGCATAGCACACTGCCAGCCAATATGCCTATTAGCATCCTGCTATATACCAAATATGACATGGAAAATCTTTTGAACTGGTCGGTCATCTGTACCTTGTATTCAAACTCTCTCTAGAGAAGAACAAAAGATAATCTGTGTTAAAAGAATACTCCTTTTGGAAGCAAATCACAAGAACTTTGCTTCCGTAATGTAAGCTTTTCAATCCGACTAGTCTAATCATCCGTCGGAAACTCAAATGAAAAAGATAGTGCATATTTTTTGTCACCAAAATGTTCTCCGAAGAGGTGTGATAACTAAATAAAGCTGTATCCCAACACTCACTGATATCCATTTACGATTCTGTCCCGAATTATCCGGAGTGTATCAGTTATCTTTCCCATACCCAATGAATAAAGTTAAAGTGTAAACATTTGGAAATACATACTTTCATCCAAAACCTGCTGGTGGTGCAGTTTATTCAATTGATCTGGGGAAATTTATCAATTGATTGTGAAAACAACACAATTCCCAAGTGCAGTGATCTGTTCAGTTTTCAGCCACTAACTTGAACATGCATACCTGGCCTCGATTTTGCGAGTCGTTTTGCGCAAACTTTATTATATTTCGTGGTTCAAAATATTGTGAAGAAATTTTGCTTTACAACAAAGAATGAAAAAACCATTCTATCCGGTTGATCACAGCTGTTCCATGAGTTTGTTATTTGACTGACAATTCGACAATCTCCACTAACATCTTCTTTTTAAGCAGTATGAGGTAAAAGTTCCCTGTTCAAATCGCTCATGATCAATATCGGAGAAATAATCTTAAAATTTATCGCTTTGATCCTTTTGTGCCTCAAGATTTTTTCGAAATCATGTCAAATTCAACACAAAAAAGGTGAACGATGAAAGGTTGTAAACTTAAAATTTGATGCCTCTGGGTAATATGTGATTATAGTTAAGAATATTCTCTCTCCGCACCCGATTGACAGACACATAGTTGTTCATTTGCCGCAAAAAGCAGTTGCATAGTATACACACAGAGTCCGTAGGTTAAAACGAAAACGGCCGATTAAGGATGCAGGCAATCTTGGTAAAAATGTTTCTAGTGATAGAATTCTGGATAGGTTTTCCGGATAGAAATTTCTCGAAAGAAACTTTTTACAGTGAGTTAAGAGATTCGAAGAGAGAGAGAAAAACGGTTGAGTGGCAGCCCTTTGATTGGCCGTTTCTCCTTTCCTGAAAATGATATCTTTGTATATTCAATAAAATAAGCAAAATGAAAAGAAAAAAGAAAAAATTTCTAGTTTTTGCAGCAAGGAATAAAAAAATGTGAATGATGTTGATTTGACTTTGTTTTGCTTCTCACTTGGCTATATCCACATATAATGATGCGATCTGCTTGCAGAGAACATAGATAGAGGAATAGATAGATATTTAGGTAGACATTGTGTGTAATTCCTGTCTCTTTCTCAAACAAATGATAAAAAATAATGTTCATAAAAAAAGAACTGGGTTCTTGGTTTATTTGTGAGCTAGTTACTGTCAATTTACACCGTCCAGGTGAAGGTTTCGAGGGGTTCAGAATCACAGCCTTCTGTCATCCAAAGCTTTACCCGCAAGACGATTGGGCGCTTTCCAAAAACCGCTACCTTTTGGGGCCAGTGTCTGATTCATCGTTGAATGTTCATAATACTAATTAGTGAAAACAGTGGAAATCGATGGCTGAAATTCCAAACTGCTCTGAGTTTACCTGACAGCAGAATAGCTACATGGTCCAGCTTTGTGAAAGGAATGATTGATACAGCGGAGAACAGAGTGACACGCAGTCAGTTACTAGCTTCAATTCCCTGCCTATAGTAAATGTAGCACTAACTACCACACCAAAGTAGCTCATTAGCAAGCCAGTAGTACTTGAAAAGTCAATAATACGCAAAGTTTAACAGCATATTTCTGTCAATACCTATTATATTTTCTCACGATAAACATTCTATCACTTTCAAAGGTTTCGTTCTATCTTTTATTTCGGATACTATTAATAAGATCTTACGAATCATAGTCACAGCAATAGCGGAACGTTTAAGTCACATTGAATTCATCATCATCGTCCTCCCCATCATTAACCCCGCACAGGAAAATGGATAATTTATCAAATTCACTTTATAAATACCTTCAGTATTATTGAATTTCATTAAACAAGCATTTGTATACAGTTCAAAACTATCGTGTTTCATTTAAATTGCATTTTGTTACCCTTTTGTGTTTTTTTGTGAAGAAGGTCATTAAAGTTTTAACCTGTTTAGCGTAGAAACATCAGTATTTGTGGACCAAGCTTGACAAAATGCATAAGGTGCCCTATGTTTAGAATCTGTTTATGGTAAAGAAGCAATATTAGGAGAGAAACGCGGAGAACATAGAGGTGTTGGGCATATCGAACTTGTGACCAAACAAGCATAAAGGTACGTGCCCTGCACCGCAAATATATAGACTTTGCGTTTTTTGTTTTTGGAGGAATTATGTAACCAATGATAAAAAATGAAGCTTTTTGTAAATGGCGAAATAAATAATTGAAAACCACAGGTCTAGTATGAAACCCGCAGTAGTAGCCCTCTGTTGGATAAAAACAGAATCAAATAAACAAAAACAGGAAGCAAAATTAGAGGTTGGAAAGCGAGTAAATCGATGAAGAAAGCATATATTACCAATGCTTCCTCGCAGAAGATGTCAAATGAACAAAGCCATCAACCTATAAGACGGTTCATAAACCTAACGACCTTGATCGTAAAGTAAACTAGCATTAACTCACAAGAGAAGTGAAAGAAGGAATCAGAAATTTTACAATACAGTGCTAGTATTAAACAGAGAGGACTAGTTAAGCAGACAGTAGAAAATAGGGGCAAAATTGAAAAACATATGATCTTTATATTTTTAGGCTTTTGTATGCATAGAAACGGGTGTGAGAAGATCTTGTTAGGAATAAAGAATGGACCAAATTATCGATCTTCCCTGAATTTATCAGCTTCATGTTGCTCTTTTGAGACTTAATGACTAGTTGATTGGTACGAACACAGTGGGTCAGAAGGGCTCAGCAACATCAGATTTCTCCATATCATCAGAATAAAAATATAAAATAATGCAAAAAATAAAATTCAAACTAGAAGGACGACTATAAATAAGTTAGCAAAAGTTAAAAAAATATTAACTTATCTAATCTGCAACATATTACAGCATAATAAACTTTGATAAACATATGAACTTTGTTTTTGTACTTTTCGCAAACTGTAAAGAAATTTTGTCTTATTTCTGGTTTTCTTCAATTTGTATATATTGGAGACTGATAAAAGTTTTTAAGCTCTTGTATTAGTTTAAAATCAGAGATCACCGCAAGGATCTGTCATTTTGTACAGAATATTTTTTCTTCTGTTTTTATTATTTTACATACCTTGTATATTTTTCGGGAAATAAATATTTGCCTAATGAATATGAGGCTGAATTTCCAAACCATATTATTTTTATGCATACTTGCTAACTAATAATGATTCCCTTTTAGGTGAAGAAAATCGTATAATTTGAAGATAATGCACTTTGAGTCGTTCTAATATCAAAGATGAATGAAACCAGCCATTTTTGTTGCGATTTGACGAAAAAGCACGATCTCTTGCTGCTTAAATCATCCAAACTTTATCGGATGCAAAATAGCGGCAACAAAAATGTTTAAAGGACTACAAGTAAGTTGAATATTCACTTTCTTAAAGAACTGAATGAATACAAGACGAATATCATGTATCAGAAGGCAACGGTTAAACCATCGCCAGCTGTAAATGTGATCATTGATGATTCACATTTTGCTTTTTAGGAAAAGCCTATAAACCCTTAGTGTTGGAAGACACAAGGTCAACAAGGTCAACGACAACACAACTACCTGGATGCATGATTTGCTCAGGCGATTTAACGTCCTTTACAAGCTGAACTACAGTGATTTTGGTAAACAACAACCGTAATCCTCATATATTTTTTTATCGAATCCAGATAGAGAATTGCCGACAATCGGTCGGACGATGCAACCGATGAAACCAAGGTTACGAATAAAATACTGCACAGCATAGAACCTTCAACTGAGGAGAAGTTGACTCAGAGACCTCTGTGGTGGAATAGTCTATCTCCCTGCGTCGTACCATCTTCTTCGCATACTTCGTAAGCACCCTGCTACCATAATAAATGTTATGAATCTATAGATAAATTGATTACCCTAAATTGCATATTAATTAAAGTAATCAATCATCTGCTCGCTGCAAAGACTTTTCCATATTCATCCACACCAACCTGTTTCCTTATATTATTGTTCATGAAATCGAGGTGAGGGTTTATTAAGCACTTCTCCGTAATTCATACCCTCAAATCTTAAGTTGTTTTCAAAAGCTTATCTTTCTTTGTATGTTATTTTTTCAAAATATGTAATGCTACGAGAACATTGTCAAAACATTTCCAAAACTTAAAGAAAATGAAGTCTTTTCAGCTAAAACAAATGACGCATGGCACCCTCCTACCTGAGATAGAACTTTGGGAATAAGTAAAGCTTAATTCAGTTCATTTTGCATAGAACAGGTGATAGCCTTGGCCAATCGAGCATTCACAGTTTCTTTGGTATACAGTCCACTTGACGGCCCCCACAACTGCACGTATTCTGTATTAAAGGTTCTTCACAGTTTCTCCCTTTTTAAGTGGTTTCCGCCGTTACAATGAAAAGAGGAAGAAAGCAATATCTTCT